TTCCCCTCCGCTTGTGGATTAAAGGTCCTCTTCCTCCCACAGGACGTCCCAGACCCTGTGAACTACTTTGTGACCCACTGGAGCAAAGACAGGTGGTCTCAGATGTCCTACAGCTTTGTGAAGACGGGCGGCAGCGGGGAGGCCTACGACGTGCTGGTCGAGGACGTGCAGGGAAAGCTGTTCTTCGCCGGAGAGGTAACTCTCCTGCCTCCTCCTGAGCCGCCCAACGCCGCCATTTGGCAGCTCGTTTTCACGCTTTGCTTCACACACACCTGAACCAGCACAAAACCAGAGATTCAACCGGCAGCAGTAAGAATCCTAAAACCAGGCACCAATCGGGTACTGAAATTAAAACCAGATCAAACGCAACATCTGGCAAAAGTTTGAATTACTCCAAAATGTCACAGCTCCTGTAATACACAGAGAAGGAAGATGATTACTAAATGGAGTAGATTTGGATTCAAGCTGAAGCCCAAAGGCCACAGAAACTTGGTGTTTTTGCTGTGTACAACAAGCTGGCCAGAGGGGCTGAATTCCTGTTTTCTGTTCCGGCCAATCAGGGAGTAGAGCTCTCTTCTTCTTTGGGCTTTTTTCCTCTGGTCAGGATTAACTGACTTTCAGACAATCGACGATCTCTGACCCCTCGACTGACCCCTCCCCTTAAGAAGTTTCAGGATGAGAACAGAGATTTCTTTTAGCTCCAAGAAGTCCATCTGCCTGCCCAACCCAAACTACCTCAACCAGTTGGTGACAAAAGAATTGAGAAAATAAAATGAACTCTGCGGGCTGAATATTGTCACTTAAACTCAGTGAGGACAGGAAACGGATCACCAGCTCACCGAGTCCGCTGACTGTTTCAGGATTCAGGCTTCAAGAAGCATCAGGATGTGAGGAGAAAAGTCTCACAAGAAGAAGAAGTCCAGCTGGCTGTGTTTAGGCTCTGAGCATCAGTAACCCAGCTAATGCTCAATATGTGACTGTGTTTGATTCCACTGGTTTTAAACCAGGTTTAACCTTTCATTATTTGTCATTTCTTTTCCCACCAGGCCACCAACCGACACTTCCCTCAGACCGTGACGGGGGCCTACCTCAGCGGGGTCCGAGAGGCCAGCAAAATGGCTGCTTTGTAAGCCGGCGGCCTCGCAGCCCTTGGACTCCGGCACCGCCAGACGGATGGCCGACACGGCCGGCGTGGAGCTGAGCGCCTTGGAGCTGAGTGGCGGCATACCTCTGCATCAGGGTCCAGCAGGGCTCTCTGCACCTGCTTTCACACACTTAGCACAACAGCAGGGGAGCTGCTCTATATTTATATCAAATCCCATCAGGGAAAGTGCTTTTTTAAAATCGAAAACCACCTCAAAGTGCAGCTCTGTCGGATTTCTGGGAAGCAGGACGCTGTTTTTACTCCACTTCAGATCACAGTCAGCACAGAATTAATTTGCTTTGATTTGCTTAAAACTTTAGGAAAACTAGGTCTTTAATCAGGAATACCTAAATAACTTTAATATCCTGGGATTATGGTCGTGTGATCGGGTCTAAAATATCGTTAAACACGGTGTAGTGAGGTAGATTTATTCTTTCTGTGGTTTAGACGGTTAGACTTAGATATGGAGAACTTGTTTCATGTCTGTGGATTTTTCGAAACGTTTAAAGGAGGAATTCGATCAGGACACATCAGCCGTCCCATTTCTTTCTCAGGGATGTTATCATGAAATCAAATAAGCCCATACGGTGAGAAAAGAGTGGAAAAATAATGAGAATGGACAGTGTTGGATTTAAACAGCTGTTGATGCCGGCGTGTGACTCCTTTCTGTCTCTTCCTGTGTGTCTGAGGCCTGAATATTTATCCTGTATGTGTCTAATAAACTGAGCTCAAAACTGCCGAAAGAAGCGGTTTCACTTGCATTGAGTGTTTCTGCCCTCCTCCGCCAAAAAGTCAGATCAATTCTGATTTCTGTTCTACATTTGGTTCTTTCAGTGTGTCTGTGACTGACATGGATATACAGATGGTTTAGCATAAAATAGTCCTTAAATGATCCCTGGTGGTAATATCACAATTTTTTAGTTGGTTTCGTTACTTGTTCCCTATATCTTAACTAATTTCGTTGGAAAAATGTTTTACATCTACTTTGAAAAAGATTGCCAGAACAGAACAACCTCAGTCATAATAAAAACACGCAATAAGGACCAGAAAATCTGACATTTTGAACCTTGAAAAAAAAATCTTTGTTTAGATGTTTCAAAGATGTATGTATGGATGCATGCATGTATGTATACATATATATATATAATAACTGTGAATTTAAAAACGATTAATCAAAATCAGTTAAATGTAAATGTTTGTGCTCTGTATCCAGAAAGCCACATCTACTTTTCAGGATCTGGTTATTATGGACACAGATTACATGTTCAATTTCAATATTTCAGTATTTATATCACAGAAACAGTTACAGGCTTTACTAGCTAAAAACACTCAGTATCAAAAGTACAGACGCTGGTTTACATTACAACTGTATGTATGTATGTATGTATGTATGTATGTATGTATGTATGTATGT